GTGAAGTCAAGTGGGCCTTAGGAATCACCACTACAAACAGAGCTAGTGGAGGAGATAGAATTCCAGTATAGCTATTTCAGATCCTAAAATATGATGCTGTGACAGTATTGCACTCAATATGCCAGCAAATTTGGAAGACTCAGCAGTGGCCACAGGACTGGAAAAATTCGATTTTCATTCCAATCCCAAAGAAGGGCAATGCCAAAGAATGCTCAAACTACCACACAGTTGTACTCATCTCACACGCTAGTAAAGTAATGCTCAAAATTCTCTAAGCCAGGCTTCAACAGTATGTGAACTATGAACTTCCAGATGTTCCAGCTGGATTTAGAAAAGGCAGAGGAACCAGAGATCAAATTGCCAACACCCGTTGGATCATTGAAAAAGCAAGAGAGTTCCAGAAGAACATCTATTTCTGCTTTATTGAATATGCCAAAGCCTTTGACTGTGTGGATCACAATAAACTGTGGAAAATTCTGAAAGAGATGGGAATACCAGACCACCTGACCTGCCTCCTGAGAAATCTGTATGCAGATCAAGAAGTAACAGTTAAAACTGGACAGGGAGCAACAGATAGGTTCCAAATGGGAAAAGGAGTACATCAAGGCTGTATATTGTCACCCTGCTTATTTAACTTATATACAGAGTATATCATGTGAACTTATATACAGAGTATATCATGTGAAATGCTGGACTGGATGAAGCATAAGCTGCAATCAAGATTGCCGGGAGAATTATCAATAACCTCAGATATGCAGATGACACCACCCTTATGGCAGAAAGCAAAGAAGAACTAAAGAGCCTCTTGATGAAAATGAAAGAGGAGAGTGAAAAAGTTGGCTTAAAACTCAATATTCAGAAAACTAAGATCATGGCATCTGGTCTCATTACTTAATGGCAAATAGATGGGAAAACAGTGTAAACAGTGACAGAATTTATTTTGGGGGGATTCAAAATCACTGCAGATGGTGACTGCAGCCATGAAATTAAAAGACACTCGCTGGCTCCTTGGAAGAAATGCTATGACTAGCCTAGATAGCATATTAAAAAGCAGAGACATTACTTTGCCAACAAAGGTCTATCTAGTCAAAACTTTGGTTTTTCCAATAGTCATGTATGGATGTGAGAGTTGGACTGTAAAGAAAGCTGAGCACTGAAGAATTGATGCTTTTGAACTGTGGTGTTGGAGAAGACTCTTGAGAGTCCCTTGGACTGCAAGGAGATCCAACCAGTCCATCCTAAAGGAGATCAGTCCCGAGTATTCATTGTAAGGACTGATGTTGAAGCTGAAACTCCAATACTTTGGCCACCTGATGCAAAGAGCTGACTCATTTGAAAAGACCCTGATGCTGGGAAAGATTGAAGGCAGAAGGAGAAGGGGACGACAGAGGATGAGATGGTTGGATGGCATCACCGACTCAATGGATATGAGTCTAAGTAAGCTCTTGGAGTTGGTGATGGACAGGGAGACCAGGTGTGCTGTAGTCCATGGGGTTGCAAAGAGTCAGACATGGCTGAGCGACTGAACTGAACTGAACTGAAACCACTAATGTTAAAACACAAGTTAAACTCTTAATCTGTTACCCTGTCTTCCAGTCTGAGAAATCCATAACCTAGGTAAGACCTGGATACTCAGAGTAAATAAAAGTACATTTGAGTGCAGGACTGAAAGAAAATTTTCCATTTATACTTAAGACAAACTTACGTATCAAAAATAATAGAGCAATTGTAGAACCCTTTGCTTTCTATCAAATATCCTTCTATGATTAAGACAAAATCTCTGACATATCAATTGCCAAAATTTTTCAGTTTTCTCAAAGTTCTATGCCATTTCTCTTGAAGTCATCATAAATCTTTCTTTTTCATCAAGATGGAATGAAATGCTACAGCAGACACATTGGAGACAGATGTTCTCCTGTTTAGAGTCTTTAAGAAAAAAAATAGTTTGTCCCTTTGGGTGGTTGCTTGAGTGAGCAAAGACTTGGTCCCTGGGCATCCTGAAGTGACCACAGAACACCAGAGAGGGACCATTTCTAGATCCTGTTCGTCATGCTTCGGGCACTGAACTGAAAGGGAAAGTGGAGAGAGAGGTACAGTGCTCCCGCCTCACCCCCACCCTCATACTTCTTTCAGCCAGAGCTCTTGCTCTTTGTACCAGAGATCTTAAGGATCTCATTTTCTTCCCTTTTACTAGGTTACCTCTAAGCGGTGATGTGAAGTGTTAGTTACTCCCACTCCCAAAAATACATAATGGAAAAACAGATCTAAATGTCCTTACTTCTACTTTGTCTGCAAACGTCAACATGTTCTAGGTGTCATTCTCTGGAGACCAGACTCATGTACCTCTTCCCCTTCTCTTCCTGAGACAGTGCACAGCTGTTTTCCCCCAGGGTAGACAAGAATCAAGTGTGCATTCTCCCACCACCACAGAGCATCCGAGATTCAGCAAAGCTTCAGGCCTGCAGAGCTCCTCCATCACCCCAGGAAAAGGAATTTCCTTTCCCATAGAGTCTGTTCTTTTCGTGCCTTTTAGGGTAATGTTGGTCCCTTTCCCAAGTCTTTATACCCGGGATCTGACAGCTTCAGTTGTGCGTAGCTTTTCCTTTGCTCAGTTCCTTCCCAGTTACAGCCTTTTCTCTTTCTGCCCTCCACTTGAGGCTCTTATCTCCTAATCCTCTTCTAACTAGCAGTCTTATTTTAGCAAGGGTAGCTTTCCCACCCTCCAGACTCTGCTCCACTTTGTTCACGGGACCATTCGTGCTCAAGGTAGTGGTCTACTTGGACGGTTTGCATCTTGCTTGCCCTAGGATAACATCAGGAAAACAGAAGCCACAGCTCTGAAGGGCAGAATCAGGAATCCAGGTCACATACCAGAAAGATTTAAAGCAGACCCTTTAAGACCAGGTGATATAATGCTACAAAGGGCTACAGAAGAGCCCTCAAACACATGTACACTGGCCTAGATTTAGTAACTTGTTTCATCTGAAACAAGACTCGACGAAACAAGACTAAAGGGAATCAAAGTTTTTCCCAAGCATTTTGAAGACCCACAAAAAAGAGTCCTCTTATCATTGGATAGTTTTGTGGGTGTTGATAACTTAGACAAACAAGGATATATATATATATATATATATATATATATATATATATATATATATATATATATATGAATATGTGTGTGTATGTGTTGGGATCGAACCCAGGCCTCTTGCATAGCAGGCGGATTCTTTACCAGCTGAGCCACAAGGGAAGCCACAAGGGAAGTGTGTATCTATATGTATACACACACAGGAGATGATCTCTAATTGGATATGCATCATCAGGCATAGGAATCAAGATAATGCACTTAGCAAGAAGAGTGGATTGCAGTAACTCTTAACCTGTTTGTTTCTGAGAGGAACCATAATTTACCCTCCCTCTACTTGAGATACACACCGAAAGACTCTTTCCCAAGATGCTTTGGCCCCATTTTGTCCTCTCCTAAATCCTGGGCTTCTCGATAAACCCTGGATATGGGAATCTTTTAGAATAAACTATCCTCAGAGTAGACAGAATTTTCCCCCAGTCATGGATGTAGCTGCCTGAGGCCCTCAGGAGGTTGACTCTTTTCTTTGTTAAGGACTATATTCTTTATCTGTTCACTCAAGTTTTGGGCCCTCATCTTTAACTGCCTAACTCTTCACTTTATAAAGGTAACAGAGTGGGATATTTTCTTCTAAATTTAAAAAAGTTCTCTCAATGCACTTCTACTCAATGAGTGTACCATAGACCAAGACATGATACATGATCAGAATGCTGAGAAATCTCAGTATGAATTTTGCCTTTCTTAAACCTTCCTTCTTCTTTCCCCAGCCTCTAACACCAGGAAGCTTACCAAATATTTAGTCATGAGAACATCATCATTTCTAAGCATCACTATTAGATTGTAGAACAGTAGATGGCAAAAGCTGTTTGTCCCCTTTGCAACCAGTGATTTTCTGACTAGCAGATTCTGTTATAAAGAGACTGAATTTTCCTTTTAAGTGACAACCCACTTATATAGGGTTAAATGCAACCACAGCAAGAGTGTTTGGACATGTTCCTAAGTGCAAAATCTGTAGAACAACCATGTGGCCTTCTATCCCCAGACTCTTGTTTGATGGTAACAATTTGGTCCACAATCCTACAGCAGCTGTTTTCAGCTTGGGCTCACTTCTTACCTCCCAGCAGTCCAACTGCAGTCACTTACTATACCAACTGCTAGCAATTATTTAATTTTATCTTGAGAAACCTAGTTTACTTGTTGGTAGCTTTGGTAAAACTAACTCATTGAATACTTGTTGTATGTTAGTATGTTAGGTACTGTTCTAAACACTTTACATTTCATTGAATTTTTATAAGTAGTTGCCATCTGTTTTACAGATACAGTCCTAGAGAGATAAACACATCTAAAATCACACAGTTAATGATAGAACTGGGTCTATCTAACTCCAAAAGCTCTAGTTCTTCCAGTGCCCCATCGAAGGATGCTTTATCCCTGGCATCTATTTTATTTCTTGCCTCTCTTTACAAGTCCTAGGCCACTTTTCCAATTCTCCAGTAAAACAAGGAACTAGAGATGACAACAAAAGCTCATCAATGTTTACCTGAAAAGTACATGCCCTTTTTGTTTAGGCGATAGATGATAAACATGCACAGGATCAAAGTGTTAATAACAATTTTTAGATCACATTAGGAAAACATTTACTATAGTAGGCATTGCAGATGAGGCATAGTCAGAGAGTGAAACTTATTTGTTTGTACTTTGAGCTCTATGTTTGGGGAAAAGACTGGTAGGAGGTATAGTAGAGAGACAGAATTGTTAAAATTGGGGTTTTTTTGGTAACTGAAAATTGCTATTATGACTATGTTACTTACCAAAAATATGTGTATATTTTTAAGGATAACTAATGAATGCAAGTTTTTCATTTACAAAGCACTTTTAAAAAGTAAATTTACTTTGCTGCTTTTTATTCACACAGAATTATTCCCTAATGGATGTTCAGCCTTCAAAAATATTACTCCCAACACTGGTGAAGAAGGAGCAATGAAAGAGGATGCTGGAATGTTGGATGTCCATTATAGTGAAGTAAGACTCCAGGGCCTACATTGCCAGTTAGATAAATGTAACTTCTTTGAATATATTTACATTAAGAAATTATTACAGCTAACTTAATTTGAAAGGTAACTAAGGGTTGATGAACTATAAGGATTAAAACTACCCAGGTAACAGATATCCCTTTTTGGAATGTGGAGCCCTATCTCTGCTACAGTTCTTACTGTCTAGCTTTAGAAATATACCATATATCATCGTCCAATCACCTTCCCAGTAACCAGACCACAGTCACAATACTCTGGAGATATCTCCATAAAAAATAGAGTTAACAATGTAACAACTAAGTAGAGGAGGCTTCTTCTCCTCTTTTAAAGATGTTTTAAAGATGTAAAATTTCTGCTCTGAGCTTCATATGGATAGTAAACAGCTGCAGTTGTCACTCACTCAATAAATATTTGTTGAGCACTGACTTATGAGCAACGTTTTGGACTTGGTGATAGAAGAGTTATAAAATAATTAGATATGCTGATTCCCTGACCTCCAATGTCTACCTAAAGAGACTACACACCTACACAAAATAGAGAAAAGACAGGCAGTGCCATTTGAATGGTACAGGCAGTATGTTCTGTGCAGAATCAAAGGTAACAGATAACTTTGGGCTGAGGAGAGTTAGGATTAGAGAGAGGTTTGAAGAATGAGGATGCCCTGAATGCATTTCAGCAGCAGAGGATAGCAGGGTTAAAAGTTAAGAAGTGGGAAAGTGTAAGGCGTATTTTAGGGGGCAGAGTGAATGGATCATTTTGGCTAAGCCATTGGGTTCGCATAGGGAAGAGTAGTAGTGGAGGTCTGATTCTGAGAAACTTTGAATGTCTGGACTTTATTGATTAGAATATTGAGTTGCTGTCAAAGGTTTTTGAGCAGAATAATAAGATGCAGTGAAGCAGGAGGAAAGGTTAAATTGGTGGTAATGTGGGAAATGTATTGGAGGTCGATGGATGGTGGCTGGGGGCAGAGGCTGGAATGCGGGCTACCCTAAGTGTCCAGTTGTGAAGCAGCCAGGCCTAAACCCAGCTTGTGACAGGTTCAGGGAACACTGAGGAAAAGAGGAAGACTTGCTGGCTATGTAGGAGAAGAGTCAAAAGTAGCACTGAGATTTCAGGATTGGGTATTTATAGAAAAATGATGGATGGGCGATTTTATACTGGAGGTGATGAATTCCATTTGATGAGTATTGAATTTGAAGTATCAGTGGAAGGTTATTGAAATGGAAACTACATCAAGTCATTAGACATTCAGAATTGAATCTAAGGAGAGAGATCAGGGTTGCAGAGCCACATCTGGAAGTCATAGCTGTGTGAGAAGCAAAGCACACTGATAATGGGAGATAATATAGCAAGTGAAGACCAGAGAACCAAGAACTGAATCACAGTGACATTAACAATTAATGAATGTGAAGACCAAAAAAAAAAAGAAAGAAAAGAACAAAAAGAGAAAGATTAAAGGGGTTGTGCTGCTGCTGCTGCTGCTAAGTGGCTTCAGTCGTGTCCGACTCTGTGCGACCCCGTAGACGGCAGCCCACTAGGCTTCCTGGTCCCTGGGACTCTCCAGGCAAGAACACTGGAGTGGGTTGCCATTTCCTTCTCCAACTCATGAAAGTGAAAAGTGAAAGTGAAGTCGCTCAGTCACGTCTGACTCTTCACGACCCCATGGACTGCAGCCTACCAGGCTCCTCCGTCCATGGGATTTTCCAGGCAGGAATACTGGAGTGTAGTCCCATAGAAATGAATTTTTTCAAGGTTGTATTAAGAAACATAAGAAGCAGCAGTTTCAAGTGATAGAGAGACACTTTGTACTCTATGAATTGTGCTTTTAAAATATAAGCAATCTCAAGCTAGCTCTGGTTCATTTAGCTAAAATGATCTATGCCTAGAAGCTTTACCTATTACTTCTTCTTTTTTTAACCTACTACTTCTCTATGAGTCTCTCTCCTCATCAATATAAATAGAGACACAGATGTAGAGAGCGGACTTGTGGACACAGTGAGGGACACAGTAGCATTAAAACATATACATTACCATATGTAAAATAGATTGCTAGTGGTAAGTTGCTGTATAACACAGGGAGCTCAAGCCGGTGCTTTGTGATGACCTAGAGGGATAAGACCTGGGGGTGAGAGGGAGGCTCGAGAGAGGGTATACACACACACACACACACACACACACACACACACACTTAATGACTGACTCATGTATGGCAGAAATGAATACAACATTGTAAAGCAATTATCCTCCAATTAAAAAGAAAAAAAGATTCATAAGAGTAGGAGCCCATCTAGCATCAAAAATGCTGGAGTGGGTTGCCATTTCCTTCTCCAGGGCCTCTTCCCCACCCAGGGATCAAACCTGGGTCTCCTGCATTGCAGGCAGATTCTTCAGCGTCTGCACCACCAGTTCAGTTCAGTTCAGTTCAGTCGCTCAGTCGTGTCTGACTCTTTGCGACCCCATGAATCGCAGCACGCCAGGCCTCCCTGTCCATCACAAACTCCCGGAGTTTACTCAAACTCATGCCCATCAAGTCGGTGATGCCATCCAGCCATCTCATCCTCTGTCGTCCCCTTCTCCTCATGCCCCCAATCCCTCCCAGCATCAGGGTCTTTTCCAATGAGTCAACTCTTCGCATGAGGTGGCCAACGTATTGGCGTTTCAGCTTCAGCATCAGTCCTTCCAATGAATATTCAGGACCGATTTCCTTTAGGATGGACGGGTTGGATACTCTTGCAGTCCAAGGGATTCTCAAGAGTCTTCTCCAACACCATAGTTCAAAAGCATCAATTTTTCGACACTCAGCTTTCTTCACAGTCCAACTCTCACATCCAAACATGACCACTGGAAAAACCATAGCCTTGACCAGACGAAACTTTGTTGGCAAAGTAATGTCTCTGCTTTTTAATATGCTATCTAGGTTGGTCATAACTTTCCTTCCAAGGAGTAAGTGTCTTTTAATTTCATGGCTGCACCACCAGGGAAGCCCAAAATGATTAGCACATAGTATGAAATCAGTAAATACTTCTTAAGTGAAAAATAATAAAATAAAGGCAATAATACTATTCTGGTCACTTTACAATAAACATGAAGGATTTTTATAAATCATTAGGTGCTGCATAAATGTCAGGCTTTATCACTGACCAACTGGATAGTAAATTTGGCTTTTACTCCCAGAACTTAGAAGAGTTGATGTTTAAAACATGTTTGCTAGATTAATTAATCATAACCGAGAATCTGGATACTTGAATTTTAATCCCAGTTTATTGCTTGACTGTGAATCCTGGGGTAAATTAATTCATTTTAGTTAGACTAATTCACTTTTAGTTAGAATTAGATTATTTTCATCTAAGATCTCCAGTTTGTGTAGGCTCACAAGCAGGAAGATTCCAGGGAGTTCATGGGAGATAAATGGATTAGCACAACTGCAGTTATGTCCTTTTTTCCAAACAGCAGCTTCAGCTTAGTCATAAAAGTGGCCTTAAGCCTGATCCTTTTTTGTACTCCAAAGGAAAGCAGTAATATTTATTACTCAAGAACTATAATCAGTTACCTATGTAAACACATTTGTTGGAACTCTTGTTTTCTACAGTAATAATTTATGTGTGCTTTTCATTTGAGGTATACAGATAGAATCATATTCTCCATAGTGCCATTTTATGTTTCAGGTTACATAATAGGGCTTCTTTCTCATGCCCTAGCCAATGAAAAATAACTGCCACTGATTCACAAGTTTTATTGAAATGAAAAATACAAATTGTTGTTCATTTAGTGGCTTCTTTAAGTAGGTGAGTTGACTCAATAATAATTTAATTTTTTTTAAACTGCATTTCTGATTTTTGATTTGTGATAATTTTAAGATAAAATTAACATACAGTAAAATGCACACATCTTAAGTGGACAGCTTGATGAATTTTGACAGTTGTCTACATCCATATAAATTACCACCAGAAACAAGAAATAGAACATGTTCATTACCCCAGAAATTTCCATTGTGCCCATTTCAAGTCAGTCTCCCCAGACCCAATATCTGAAGTAGATTAGTTTTAATAGTATTTTGGTGTCATAAAAATGAAATCAGTCAGTATCTCCCTTTTGTTTCTTCCTTCTTTTGCTTGATATAAAATTTTTGAGATACATCCATGTTGTTGAGTAAATCAAAAGTTCTTTTTCATGGCTAAATATTCTATTCTCTTGACATAACACTTTAAAATCCATTCTCCTGTGGATGGATTTTGGATTGCTTCCAGTTTGGGACTATTATGAATAAGGCTGCTTTAAACATTCTTATCTGTGACCTTTTGTACATATGCTTTCATTTTTCTTGAGTAAATATACCCTGTTGGATCCTCAGAAAGTTTTATATTTAACCTTATAAGAAATTGTCACAGTTTTTCCAAGTTGTTGGACCATTTTATATTCCCACCAGCAATGGATGAGAGTTTCAGCTGCCCCACTACCTCACCAACAATAGCTATTGCTAATCTTTTTATATTTTTACCATCTTATAAGAAATGAAGTGGTATCTCACTGTGTTTTTCATTTGTATTTATCTCAGTTCAGTTCAGTTCAGTCGCTCAGTCATGTCCGACTCTTTGCGACCCCATGAATCACAGCACACCAGGCCTCCCTGTCCATCACAAACTCCCAGAGTTTACTCAAACTCATGCCCATCAAGTCGGTGATGCCATCCAGCCATCTCATCCTCTGTCGTCCCCTTCTCCTCATGCCCCCAATCCCTCCCAGCATCAGGGTCTTTTCCAATGAGTCAATTCTTTGCATGAGGTGGCCAAAGTATTGGAGTTTCAGCTTCAGAATCAGTTCTTCCAATGAACACCCAGGACTTATCTCCTTCAGGATGGACTGGTTGGATCTCCTTGCTGTCCAAGGGACTCTCAACAGTCTTCTTCAACACCACAGCTTTCTTCACAGTCCAACTCTCACATCCAAACAT